GTTAAGGAATATACCTTAAATTTTCGTAGGATCCCTAATAAGATTTAAGGTATATTCCTTAACCAAGGGGTCTTGGAGTCTCTGGGGGGTAGCAGGACCCAGGTTGATCCAGGGGTTCTCGAATAAGGGTTTAGGGTTTTAGGGTTTTAGGGTTTTAGGGTTTTCGGGTTTTAGGGTTTAGGGTTTTAGGGTTTTTAGGGTTTTAGGGTTTAGGGGTCTGCCTTTTTTTTTTGTTGGGGACAGCTTGTTTTCCCCAGAGTTTATTTCAGAGCAGCAGGATGGGTGGGTGCGTAGTCATAGCTTCTTTTCATCGGGTCTTTCCTTGACCAGTGGCCCTAAACCCTAAACCCTAAACCCTAAACCCTAAACCCTAAACCCTAACATCCTAAAACCCTAAAACCCTAAAACCCTAAACCCTAAACCCTAATTGTTTGGAAAACGATTCTTCCGTGTGTTCCCGCCCTTTCCGCGAGGTTTTTGGGGGCTGCTGACAGAGAAAGCTCCGACCCCGTGCCTCTCCACCTGCCCCCTAAACCCTAAACTCTAAACCCCAAACCCTGAACCCTAAACCCTAAACCCTAAAACCCACCCTAAACCCCAAACCCTAAACTCTAAACCCCCACACCTCTCAACCGTAAGCCCTGCAACCGCCGGGACCCTTCGAAGACGGCACGGGAATCCCTGGAATACTCTTCATAGCAACCCTTATGGCGGCACTTGCCGTTTAGCAACTCTTCCAGAAACCCTTATAGGAACCGTCATAGCAAACCGTAACCCTCACAGCAGCACTTGAAGGAGCCTTTGACGTGACCCTTAGCAAAGTCAACCTTTAAGACCCCCAAAAAACCCTATTCTAGTAACCTTCAAAGAGAAACCCTATTATAGTACCCTCGAAGGAGCCCTTTAAAGCTAGTCTTCAATGTAGCCGCAAAGTGCCGAGGTGAAGTTGGCGGCGGTACGAGCGCTCGGCAACCTCGGCACGCTGGCCTCGGAGCTTCTCGGTTGGAGGTTGGTCTTCATAAGGGCTTCGGGTATAGGGTTTTGGAGTTTGGGTTTTGGGGCTTGGGGTTTAGGGTTTTGGACTTTAGGGTTTTGGGGTTTAGGGTTTTGGAGTTTAGGGAGGGTTTAGGGTTTTTGGGTTTTTGGGTTTAGGGTGCTCGTTTACGGTTATTTGTTTAAGGTATCATGGAAGTTTTACAATTGGTTATTGCTTAAGAAGCTGTCTTCAAGGGTCCCTACACGCACATTACAAGAGTTTCTATAGCCGTTAAGGGTTGTATGAGGGTTCTTTAAGAGGTTGTGGGCTTTGGGGCTTTGGCGCTTAGGGCAGAGCTCGTTGCTTTGACCTGGAGCACAGAAAAGGGAGAGAAGTAACCCTTACTTGGGCTGGTGGTTATTGGCTTGATGCAGATCGCGAGCATCCCTGCAGCCATTCCAAAACCCCTATAACTCCAAAACTCTGGGCATTAAAGTGGTTCGAGCCTGAAAGCCACAAGGCCCAAACCCGACTAAAGCCGAAAGCCCTACAGCCCCAGACCCCCCCGCACTCTTTAGCCCTCCAGGAGAACTCCCCATAAGATTCTCCCACGACCCTCAACACCCCCTGTCAAACATTTCAGGGTCCCTACACCCTAAACCCCAAACCGTAAACACCCAGGTTCGGTGGTGACCTCCTAAACTGCCTGGATCAGAAGGCGAGGCCTCATTCCGCGGCATTTTTGTCCAGGGCCCTTCAGGGATGGTGGGGTTAGGTTTGGAGCCGGGGGTTCAAAAACCCAAGGCCCTAAACCACAATCCAGGGATTCGCGGTTTCGGTCTAGGGCCCTTTATGGTTCAACGATTTCAAGCCTCAGGGCTTCTTCGGGATCTGTAAGGCATGGGAGTTTCAGCTTTGGGGCGAGCCGGGTTACTTACAAACATTATTCCTGAAGGAGCCCAAAATCCTAAACCTTTAAACCCTAAAATCCCAAAACCGTGTTCGAAGTCTTATACTATGGTGGAGCGCAGAGAGGGGTGGTCGCTGACCCGAAACCCAAAACTCTGAGCCCTAAAGCCTGCAAGAAAACCATAAACACTCAAGCGGTTTAAAGTTTAGATTTTAGGGTTTAAACCCTAAACCCTAAACCCTAAACCCTAAACCCTAAACCCTAAACCCTAAACCCTAAACCCTAAACCCTAAACCTTAAAGTTCCTCAAAACTCCTGCGCACCTCGCAATCCTCAACCTTCTGCCCTGAACCCCTGAACCCCAAGGCTTAAAACCTGCACACCCCAAACCCTTACACTACCAAAAAGGGGCTACAAAATTTAAGGGCTTTGGTTTAGGGTTTAAGGTGTAGGTTTAGGGCAGTCATGGCTTCAGGGTCACATTCCCTAAACCCTAAACCCTGAACCCTAAACCCTAAACCCTAAGCCTTTAGACCCCAAGCCCTGGCTCTTAAACCTAGAAACTCCCAAACCCTGAAGTTTAGGGTTTAGGGTTTAGGGCTTAGGGTTTAGGGTTTAGGGTTTAGGGTTTAGGGTTTAGGGTTTAGGGTTTAGGGTTCAGCCCAACAAAACCCGGTCACCACCAGAACAGGCCGCTAAACCCCTCTCAGGAAGTGGTCTAACCAACCTTAACGGCACGGAGGGAAAAGGGGCAAAAACAAAGACACCCTAAACCCGAAGCCCTAAATCCTTATAGAAGCCCTTGTAGACCCCGCCCCCTCCGCCCGCTTTATAGCATCCCCCGTAGAATGTCCGAAGTCCTAAGCCCTAAGCCCTAAATCCCTAAACCTAAATCCCCAAACCCTTAAACCCTAAATCCCTTAAACCCTAAATCCCTTAAGCCCTAAACCCTAAACCCTAAATCCCTAAAACCCTTAAACCCTAAATCCCTAAACCCTCAAACTTAAATCCCTAAACCCTTAAACCCTAAGCCCTCAACGGCTAAATCCCTAAAGCCTTTCAGGATCCGGAAGTCGAGGCCGAAGCATGTCTAGCCTTGGGGAAGATGAAGGCCTGAAGGGGTTTAGGGTTTAGGGTTTAGGGTTTAGGGCTTCGGGTTTAGGGTTTAGGGTTTAGGGTTTATTATAGTTATGGTATAATATACCCTTAAAGCCTACTCTAATCATTAAGGCCTCTACATTGCAGATAGGCTTTAATATGAACGTTTTTTGGGGGCTCCGGGCCTTCTTGCTTCCTTTGGTTATGGGTTCAGGGTTTAGGGTTAAGGGTTTCGGGGCCCTAAACCCGAAATCCTAAACCCTAAGCCCTAAACCCTAAACCTTTAAACCTTTAAACCTTAAGCCCGTAGCCCTAAACCTTAAACCCTAAACCCTAAACCCTAAGCCCTAAACCTAAAGCCCTAAACCTTAAGCCCTAAACCCTAAACCCTAAACCCTAAACCCGTTTTGTGGTTTGGGGCTGCGGAGTTGGGCCTCGGCTTCCGGAGGTTTCGGTGGCGACACAGTGGTGGCGTTT